TACGTGTATCTCAGAACTTAAAAAACAAAACAAAACAAAACAAAACAAAACAAAAAACAAACCTGAAATGCAAAGAGGGTAAGCAGGCAGCTAGCAAGTCAGTAACTTATGTCAACTCTTTTTTTTCTTGTGTCAGTTGTACTGCTGACACTGAAATAGATAATTGTATTACTCTTTACAGTCCCAAATGAAAGAATTTCCAGAGTTAAGTTTGCCATCGCCTGTCAATCTCTTGCACACTTTAATATTCTCTTCTCTCAGAGGGGGAGATTAGAAAAAAAAACCAAAACCAAAGTTTATCTTGAAAATGGGTCTTTAGGCTTCACCAGGTTGCTAAGGGCATCCGAGGCACCCATAGGTTAAGAATCCCTGAGCTGGACACAGCGTGAAAGTTGCAAGAAGGTTCTAATTTGCTCCTTGATGAGAAGCTGAGGTTTCTTCTGCTGCCTTGACTCCTTTTGGGTATTCCTCCTCCTCAGTTCTGCCCATGTGACTGAGTCAAAAATTAGCCGGGTGTGGTGGCACGTGCCTGTAGTCCCAGCTACTTGGGAGGCTGAGGTGGAAGAATAACTTGAACCCAGGAGGTGGAGGTTGCCATGAGCCGAGACTGCCACTGTGCTCCAGCCTGGTGACAGAGCACAGAAAAAAAAAAAAAAAAAAAAAAAGATCTTTTCAGAGGCTCCTGGAAGCTTCTCCAATGCTGTATCAAATGTATTAACATCCACCCACATTCTACATTTTTATATAAAAACTTGAAAACATTATTTTAATTTTGTTTTTTAAATCTTTTAGATTTTGAGAACCTAATTTAATTTACAACTTAATGCAGTTTCTTGACAACCAATATGCTTACTCAGGGGTTCTAGCAACATGGGAAAATCTAACATACAAATTGTTTTCTAAATGCCATGAAATTTTTATGAGCACTAAATTTCACAATTAATGAAGTTGACACACGATACGTTTTGTATACATTTAATCAAACATTTAGCTATAGCGATTTTTGTGATTTTCTTTTCATATTTTGGAGACTTTTTTTTTTTAAAGTCTGTTTTATGGGTCCTGGAAAGCACCTAGATACTTGTGCCAGTGTCTAATGGATTAAATGTCTCAGGGGCCACAGCCTCTCATATTCAACCTCTACACAGGGCGCATCCTCCACCTCCTCTCAGTAACCGAACACTTGGCTCCCTCTCCTCACTCCGGGACTTTCCTGCCACCTTCTGTAGGAGCGGAGGCTACTGGCTTCCTTTGCTGTGGACGCTACCGGCAGCATTAGTCAGCACATTCCTGCTTCCTCCTTGCTTCGTGCGTTTTACTCAGTGCAAAACCATCCCCTGTACTTGACGTTTCATTTTACCCACAAACATCATCCTGATAGCTCTGGTTTTGCTGTAATCTGTGGTTTTACTCTTTATGCTCTTTGATCCCTGAATCAGTAACCTTCCTGCTGTCCAGCCACCGCCCTGCACAACTTTCACCTCCCACGGGGACAGGGTATCCCGCCTTCTAACCTCAGAGCTCTATGGCAGGGTCTGAACTTTGTTCAAGGCCTGTCTCCAGCTTCCCAAGCAAAGCATAGCCATTTTCTCAGTAAATGTTTCTTTCTTAAAAATGCATGAATTCTCTTTGTCTCCATTGCGATCCAACTCCCCAATTCCAGAGTCTTATTCCTTTGTTAACACCTGGCACCTCTTCTGTATTAAATTGCAATATATAAACTTCTAATCAGAACCTCCGTCTCATCTAATTCTCCACCTCCTGATTCTTGGGACTCATTCTCTTTATCTCATCCATATCTCCCGTCCCTTCCTGCTTTTCTTCCAACCCATCCAATACTGACCTCTTTGCTTCTCTTTTCTCAGCTCTCCTTCCGACCAGTCTTTTGCCAGCATCCTCAGTGTCTTAGCTGTAGCAGCAGGGATGGCAGTCATATTAATCATTAACATGACCAAGTGCCTGCAGTGGGCCAGACTCTAAGTTCAGTGCTTCCCATGCATTGCTTCACGGAACTGTTTGATGTGGGTGCTATTATTTTCTTCATTAAGAAAAAACTAAGCCGAGGATAAGACAGATGAAATAACTTGCTTCATATGCTCTGAAAATTTCAGGCCTGATACTTCATGCCATTTTCCACTCTATGTATATATAATCGGACCTCCCCCCAGCTTCACTTCCTTTCCTTGAGCAAGTTTATGCAGACTTCTCATCTCATTTACCTCCTGCTCACATGGCTACGGGCACCTCTGAAACCCTGGCCGAGGTTACTGATGCCTTGCTAATGACCGTGCCAGCTGGCCGTTTTAATTCTTTTCTCACCTTTCCTGAGAATATGCCAAAAACTACTCAGGTTTTCTTTAAAAAAAACACTTCATTTTTTTCCCTCTTGGATTTAACCACTCTTCTCCTCCTCATTTTCCTTCTGTTTCTGCCCACTTCATTCTCTGTGGCTGACTTGCCTTCCGTTGCTCCTCTTTCAAATTCTAATCCACCCAAAATCTCATCCTGGCCTCCCATCCCTCCTCTCGTTAAATCGGGGGTGTCCAATCTTTCAGTTTCCTTGGGCCACATTGGAAGGAGAAGATTTGTCTTGGACCTTACATAAACTACGCTGACGATAGCTGATGAGCTAAAAAAAAAAAATCTCATCATGTTTCAAGAAAGTTTACAAATTTGTCTTGGGCCACATTCAAAACCATCCTGGGCCACGGGCTGAACAAGCCTGCTCTAAATGCATTTCTGTGTTTTATTCACTGTAGTGACTTCAATCACCATTCTGCCTGCTGACCTTAAGACCTCCTGCTCACTTCTAGACCTCTGTGCCCAAATGCTTCATGAATCTTTCCATCTGGAAGTTGCTTAGGCACTGCTTATGTCCAATCAGAGCTACCTCTAGTCCAAGTGTTTGAGTCTTAATGAACCCGCCCAGCTGCTAGGCTGGAGTCCTTCTTATTTTTAACCCCTATTTCAGTCCATGAGTACCTCCTCTCTCTTGTTATCTGCTTAACCCCTGATCTCTGATTCCTCCACCCACTCCTCACTGGTTTTCACGTCCCGCTTTGCTTCCCTCCTGCCCATCTTCACAGACTGCCAGAGGACTGTTCTCTATCGCAAAACCCATCACTTCTCGAGCTTTTCTCTGCTCATAGTTCACCTCCAATCACTCCCTCTGCTTGTGGACTGCCTCCCTTTACTCCTTTTGTCATGTACTCATACAATCCTTCCAACACTTTTTTTTTGACAGTTGTTTCTGTTTTCTTTAGTTTGGCCTCTGTGTGCCTCCCGGGCAGCCATGATGCCTCTTCATTTTGGACCTCCACGTGCTTGTACCATACTTTTCTTATAGTGGGTGTTCTGTAAATATTCATTGAATGAATGACAGTCATGAGGTGCCACTTGAGTGTGAGCTAGACCTTACTGCTGAAAGGTATAAAACTAGCATTCCAGGAAAGCAAGGGTTCTGGGTGATATCCAAGTTTGAGGGAAGGTGCTGCCATTTCCTGACTGATGTTTGCTCCTTGATATTGGTATGGCTGACAGGGTCGTGTCCCTCCTCCACCGCCTATGCATTTTCCCCGGGGGCTGTTTGCAGCAGTCTGGAAAGGTTACAGGAGTCATCATTTTTACCAGGTTTATATGTTTTCCTGGACTCAGGCCCCCAGTCAACAAAATGGACTTCTTTGGTGGTTTTCCTTCTCCATGTTCCTGAGGCCATTGTGGTTGAAAGATTCCTAGGAGATCAGGTGAGGTTGGTCAGTCTTCCTGATCACCCCGAGGGGCTGTAGGTCTGAATAGCATCAGTGGACTTTACACAGCGTTTCTCCTGCTCTGCACCGTGGCATGACTACATCTACTGACGCGTTTACTTATCTGTGTTCCTTAATAATCCATTTTGGATTCTTAGCTTCTGGGAAGACTGAATTCAAAAGATCTAATTTCCAGCTTCGTCTCTGCTACCACTTTACTGTGTGCCCTGGGACAAGTCACTCCCACTCCCCGTGCCTGTCTTTTTTTCTGGAAAAGGAAGATGCTTCCCAAGCACCCACCCAGACATGCTGTTCTGGGACTCTGAGTGTTGTGGTGCGTCCCGGGGTTAAATGTCCATATGTCTTTGTTTACAGGTCTTAATAGTGAGACACTGAACTCACTGCTTTACAGAGACTGAATACACCGAACACCATGCTTAGCAAATTGTGATTGCCGGCTGTAGGAATATCCCTTCCGAGAGGAGATTGAAAAGTGGATGTAACACAAAACCTGCTTACTCAGGCTTTACCATGGGTTAAATTCCTGAAATCAGCTCTCAAATATTTTTTAGATCCAGTTTCTAATTTATATCCTATATTTTAGTAATGCTTTTAAAAAAATCTGGCACTGTCTGAAAATGGACTATTCTAAATAAGTATGTTTTTCAAATAACTGGCTATGACTCTATGAGCACAAAAATGAATAGTGCTCATTTTATAAGGGTGGAAATCCTCACAAAACATAGAGAGCATTATCTTGTCTTATAAACAGAAAATGTTGAGTATAATTTAAATTTCTTATGTGGCTATAGTCATGTCTTTTATTCCTCTATTCAACAAATATTTATTAAACTCTAATATGTAAGCCCTATGCTTAAGCGGTGGGCATCCCGTGTCTTACTTTACATTGACCACCACCAAAGATTCCTCTTATCGCTTCATTCACACAAGTTGACTCTTTTGACGTTATATATTACATTTGGAGTTCTGAGCAACGATAATGCAGAGTTTCTGCCTAGAGCATCAGGTTTGGTGGGCAGTTCAAATTATCACGATCCGTCAGTAAAAAGGTGAGTCAGCTGTGTCTCGCTCCAGCCATTTTAGTCAGCTAGACATGGGCGTTCCCCCAATAAAGGGTGTGAAATTGCGTATGTTCTTCAAGCGTCAAACTCAACAGGCTCTGTAATCTTTAGATCCCTTTTCTTTGTATTATTCACAATAAAAATTGATATAGAGCCCATATGATATGCTTAGGGTGCATTTAAAATTGTTATACACTCATTTTGTTACAAAGCAATAAATATTTATTGAAAAATTCAAGCAAGAGAATGTTATTGCAAAATATTTATTTATTTATTATTTTTTGAGATGCTCACTGTTGTTGCCCAGGCTGGAGTACAGTGGCACAATCTCGGCTCACCACAACCTCTACCTGCTGGATTCAAGTGATTCTCCTATCTCAGCCTCCCGAGTAGCTGGGATTACAGGCATGCGCCACCACGCCTGCCTAATTTTGTATTTTTAGTAGAGACAGAGTTTCTCCATGTTCGTCAAGCTCCTGTTGGTCTCCTGTTGGTCTCGAACTCCTGACCTCAGGTGATCCCCCTGCCTCGGCCTCTCAAAGTGCTGGAATTATAGGCATAAGCCACTGCAACTGGCCAAAATATTTAATTTTTACATTTCTGTCTTTAGAGATTTTTAAATATAAACAAACCTTTTTTTTTTTTTTTTTAATGTTAGGAGATTTTCAAGGTTGGCCTCCAGTAACCTTGAAAATAGCCTTAAGCAGTTTTAGGGGACGGTGGTGTTCTGGAATAGTTGCTGTTAAATATAAGGTGACTCCTACTTTCCCTTTGACATTCATTTTAAACCTGGAGATGGTTTCTACAGAGAGTTGGGAGAAGAGACTGAGGAGTGTTTTTAATGAGAGACGGATGATTACCAGGGTCTTCCAGAATGTCAGAGCATGCCAACAGGCTACTTCTTCTCTCTCTGTCTCCACTCCGTGTTACTTTTCCAAGAATGGGAGGCAAATTAGCGCATTACAGTTTCTTTAAAAGATTATTGTTGACACATGCACACGTTATGTTTATTACAGCACTGTTCACAATAGCAAAGACTTGGAACCAACCCAAATGCCCATCAATGATAGACTGGATAAAGAAAGTGTGGTACATATACACCATGGAATACTATGTAGCCATAAAAAAGGATAAGTTCATGTCCTTTGCAGAGACATGGATGAAGCTGGAAGTCATCATTCTCAGCAAACTAACACAAGAACAGAAAACCAAATACCACATGTTCTTACTCGTAAGTGGGAGTTGAACAATGAGAACACACAGACACACTAAGGGGAACATCACACACTGGGGCCTGTTGATGGGATGGAGGACTAGGGAAGGGATAGCATTAGGAGAAATACCTAATGTCGATGATGGGTTGATGGGCACAGCAAACCACCATGGCACGTGTATACCTACGTAACAAACCTGTAGGTTCTGCACATGTATCTCAGAACTTAAGTATATATTAAAAATTTGTTTAAAAAGAGTATTATTGGCCTGGCGCGGTGGCTCAAGCCTGTAATCCCAGCACTTTGGGAGGCCGAGGCGGGTGGATCACGAGGTCATGAGATCAAGACCATTCTGGTCAAAATGGTGAAACCCCGTCTCTACTAAAGATACAAAAAATTAACTGGGCATGGTGGCACGTGCCTGTAATCCCAGCTACTTGGGAGGCTGAGGCAGGAGAATTGCCTGAACCCAGGAGGTGGAGGTTGTGGTGAGCCGAGATCGCGCCATTGCACTCCAGCCTGGGTAACAAGAGTGAAACTCCGTCTCAAAAAAAAAAAAAAAAAGAGTATTATTTCTCCTTACTCTGAAATTATGTAAAATAAGCTTCTATTTAATACCAAATATAATATTAATATAATTAAAGGTATACCTCACTTTAAACTTTTGAGGTAGTTCTGGAAAGTTATAAGCAAACTGATAATTTGCTTTAAAAATAAGTTTCTCATGGATTTTGTATTTTATTTTGAAAAATGCCTGATCTTGTGCCCGGACCTTTCTTCTGTTACTATTTTCCTGATGTTCTGCATCTTGTTCTGATTTCCTATCCTGATTCAACATGTTTTCAACTGAAATCCTCATCTTACCCAAATAATTTCCCCATTCACTGCTATTATCTGACACGGAGCATCACTGTTCTCCTAATCACCCAAATGGAAACACTAACATGCTAGGCTCCTCTTCTTCATGTATCCAAGCCCAAAGCCCTAACTCACTGTTCTTGAAGCTATTGCAAAGTGTAGCTTGTTCTAGTACCATCAGCCTTAGCAACATGGAACTCTCCAATAATACACCTTTTTTTTGCCCTGCCTCCTAACATGACATTCTCTGGACACAGGATCTCTAACTTTAAATTTCTGAAGGGTCTTCTACATCTAGGTCATTTACATATACTTAGAGAGATTAGTTCTTTTGGCCTCTTGTGGAACTGACAACAGGATACACTGTGAACAATCACATCCACCCTCCACTAGGAGCGATATTTGGTTTCCTCACAGCCTTATGTGCAACTAAACCCAAGAATAGACATGGGTTTTGTCTCTTGGTCCTCTTTACTAAGGAACTGATGAGTAACCTTTACAAGTTAACACCAGGGGAATGATTTCTGAGCTGATCTTGTCTGTCTGAGGTTTGTGTTGTTCTTACCCCAAAGTCTGGATCACTCTGGAATGCCCATGGCTTGCTCCAGACCCTTATCAATACCTCGACTTTGGTTTGGTCCTCTGCAAAGTGTTTCCCTGAAGACTGTTCTCTGAGCCTTGGTGGTAACATCACAGCACTATAGTTCTATCCCTCTAACCTTGTTCACCTTTATCTTCTGTAACACCAAGGATGATGGGGGGCCATCGGAAAGCTCTTTTGGGAAGAGCCCCCTGTTCTTCCCAATAGAGTCAAAACATAACATACATTCTCTATTTGGAAAGCTCCGTGACACTCCTTGAGTAGTACAATTAAGCCTCCTCCAGGCAACAGCAACCGGGGACATTACTGATTGAGTTGATTGTATATATAACTACACAGGATTGGGCCACCATTGCTTCTCTGCAAACTGTGATGGCATATTTTTATCTGATATTGCTTCTCTGTGTCTTCTTTCCATTTAGAAGATCCTTAGCATCTGTGAAGGATTCTGTCATTCATTCAATCAACACTAATCCTCGTTTTTCTCTTTGAACAAAGCTTAGTGGTTCCTGATTGCCTAACAAATTTATCACACATTTCTTATCCTAGCATTTATGGCTCTTATTAATACAGCTGCAACTTACCTTTATGATTCTCTTTCCAACTCACACTCCCTTGTTCAAAATCCATACCTAGACAAGTAGATCCTTTTTCCATGTCCAGTGCATGTGTAGCTTCCTATCCTCACTCCTCTAAGCATCGTTCATCTTTCCTACCTGCAGTCACTAATGGTTAAAATCCTGCTGTCTCTGAGTCTCGGCTAGGAACTATCTTCCCTGTGGAACTCGCCTTGAATTTCTTGCTGGAAATAGTGTCTCCATGATTTTGGTGTTCATAGTATCCTGTTTTTACCGATCACCTCTGGATGTAGCTAATTATTAATATCTACCTCCAAGGTGTCAGCTCCTTCGGGGAAAGGGTGTGTCTTACTCAGAGTACTCCTGGAATACTGTGGGGATTCGTGGCAAGGGTCAGGAAACATTTGTTGAATGAATGAATGAATGACAGTTGTTGCATAAATAGGAAACTCATTATTTTTGCTAATTTAGACCTGTTCTAAGACTACCTTTCACAACTAATATTTCTTAAACTGGAGCCCACCTATAATAGTTATCTGGAATCCCTGAGTATGTGATTCTTAATGAAATCTGAAAGCGGTGCCTAAGGCTCCACCAAGAACAGTGATTTCCGTCGGCCTGTCCCTGGAATTGTCTTGACACGACTTGTAATAGGCTATGACTGCTCAACAAACCCAAAAGCTTCTGCATTTCAGCAACTTGTTAACAGGCCCCTGAACAACTCTAGTTAATTCTGTAGAATATACAGGATTCACTTTGAAGTACATAATATTATTAACACAAGTCCTGTGAATTAACATTGTGACTAGGCAAGCATTGCAAATTAGATGCAGTTATGCTCGCTCTGACTTTTTAAAATGTAGAACATAATAGAGTTTCAAGGCATTTTAGGCTTGGAAATGAAATATACCAGAGTTTTGATTTTTGCAAAGACAATGACAAACTTAATGAAAGACCAAGAATGGGTCTGTTCTACTCCCTGAACCCCCTGCGATAATTGTCCGACTACAAAGATGAATTGGGGGCTTTTATAAAAGGATGGCAACTCCCTTTAACTGTGCTCATATTTTTAAGGTAAAAGTATAGAGGACAGCCAACTCTTGCTTTGAGCCAGATTTGCTTGCCCTTCTTTGAAGGGGGGTGTTTTCCTAGGGTTTCTTTAGAGCCTTCTGAGATCCCCACCAGGTTCATATCAGTCCCACTCAGATACACATTTAGGTCTGAATCCTTCCGGGGAACACAGGTTGGGAACACTCTTAAGAACCCACGTACACAGAATATAACATGAGTATAAATTAGGTATGTTAGAGAAATAAAGTATTGTGAATATGTTAAATTAGGCAAATAAAAAAGGTTCATGATATGACAGCACATAGGTGCACATTTATAAATAAAATCTCTATTTTTATGTGATGGAATCCCAACAGATATGCTCATATTTCCAAATGAGGGATAGATTTATATCAATTCATCTTCAATCATAGTTTTCCTATTAGGTATTTTTATCACGTTCTTATATATGTGAAATCATTAGTAGAAGTAAAGCAAAGAATGCTGGTCTCTTTCATCTTTCAGCGTTATTCAAGCAGGAAAGACAACTGGTTTCACAATGTGCTTTTAGGGTACCAGCCCTTTTAACGGGACTGGGGGAAATTATACTCTAAAAGCATTCATGAATTCATGACTGTGAGCTTCCATCCATGGATAATTGTGATAAATGTTTCATTTACATTTCTATTATTATGGATTATCTGTTTTCTTTTTAGTTTAGATTAAAACATAATATACTCACATGTGAAATTCAAGTGAAACCTTCTGTGAATCACAGGTCTGCAGATTTTAAACATAAGTATGGTTACTCAAACATATTGTTTACACCTGATCAACCATGTTTTAATCAATGCCAAATAATTTGTTTTTTTAAATAATGAGTCTTCAAGAAAGAAATATACAGCTGGGCCAAGTGGCTCACACTTGTAATCCAAGCACTTTGGGAGGCCTAGGTGAAAAGATCACTAGGTCAAGAGATCGAGACCATCCTGGCCAACATGGTGAAATCCCTTCTCTACTAAAAATACAAAAATTAGCTAGATGTGTTGGTGTGTGCCTGTAGTCCCAGCTACGTGTGAAGCTGAGACAGGAAAATCACTTGAACCCGGAAGGCGGAGTTTGTAGTGAGTGAGCCACTGCACTCCAGCCTGTGACAGAGCGAGACTCCTTCTCAAAAGAAAGAAAGAAATATACAAAGAAAGCGCTAATAGGCATTAACTAAAAATTTGTTGCTTTGGATATTGGTTTATTATTTAGTATCTACTTAGAACATGTGGACAGCTACTTGAAATAGGATTTTGCTTTGCTATTTAACATGGTTAATAGTAAAATGTGTAAATGAATGATAATGCTTTAGGCTGTGTATGTGCATGAATCCCCGCAGCCTTCACATAGCTCTGCTAGCCTAGGTTAGAACAATACACAGACCTCCCATTTAGATACTAGATATGACAGAGATAATTAGCTGTCCTCCAAAAGATTTGTACCCTGCCTCCCAGAGTACAGAGAATTGCTGCTGACAAGTGTCTTACCTGCAAAAGACATCATTTCCCAGCCCTCCTTACAATTAGATGGGTCCTGATACTAGTTCTCACCAGTGGAATCTGAACAGAAGTGAAACACATCACTTTTAGGTCAAATTGTTTAAAAGAAAATGTAAAACAGTTGAACAAAGAAACAAATTCGTGACATATTCATGCATCAGAATACTGTTCCTCAATAGGAAGGAAAGAACTACTGATTCAGGTAAAAACACAGATAAGTTTCAAAACATTGTGTGCTAGAAGCCAGACACAAAAGAGCGCATATTGTATAATCCCATTCATATGAGGTCCAATAATAGACAAAACTAGTCTACGGTGAGAAAAATCAGGAAGTGGTTGCCTGTGGGGAATGGTGGGTTGGCTACACATGAGTACTAGGGAACGTTCTAGGTGAAAACAATGGTTGGCATCTTCTTCTGAATGGTTATTACACAGGCGTAACAACTGTCAAAACTCATTGAACTCAACACTTAAGATCCAAGCATTTGTGTGTGCATGTGTGAATTACATTTTAGTAAAACCAGATGTGCCTTCTCGATTTTCTCTTTCCCCGTTCTCTAATTCAGCAGTTCTCAACCAGAGGCAATTTTGTCTCCCAGGAGACATTGGCAGTAGGAGGAGGAGGCATTTTTGATTGTTGTGCTTCTGGTGTCCAGTTAGTGGTAGTCAGTGATGCTTCTCAGCATCCTACAATGGCACCCAACGGCCCGCCACAACAAAGCATCATGCGTTCTGAAATGCCAGTGGTGCTCAGGTTGGGAAACTGCTGTGGCTGAATGCAGAGGGCGTTGAGTCCCGGGAGACAGGTAGACCCGAAAGATAGAAACATTCTGGCCATCAGCACAGGATGTTACATGATCAAGAAATAAATTTTTACTGTGATAAGGCACTGAAGTATTAGAGTTTGTTTGTTTCAGTGGTTAGCATTGCTTTCATATACCAGCCTTTAAAACCTCGATGCTAAGAATAATATTTATTGCAGTGTCCTCCTTATGAGGAAATGTGAGTGAAATTTATCTTAAGTTTTAATATTGAGCAAAGCTATGCCTCCTCTAAACCATTATTGTAATTTTATCTCAAAGACATTGTCAGTTTTATAACTTAAAGTGTTTTCCTTCTTGTTTCAAATCACAGAGAGTAATTCTTAGGCAGCTCTTACATCTCCAGGAATGTATGATTTGTGTTTCTGCATGCTCCTCTTGTCTTGAATATTTTTCTATCTTTATTTCCCCCTAGCACCAATCCCATAACTACCTCTTGGTATTTCATTATTTTTTTAAAGCCTAACTCGTATCCTTTGCATAAAACTTCAGCTTATAAAAAATAAATAAAATATTATTCAAATACTTAGCATTTCCTTATTTAGGTTTTGAATTAATAATGGTTTTCATATCTCAGACCTTGAAGGGATTTTTATCTTGTCTTAACCTCTTAAGATCGAGAGAGATAAAATGTTGATAGTGATAGTTCATAAAACTGTTTTAGCTCTAAAATAGAACGTGTTTTCTACTGTATATAAAAGCTGTATTCTTTATACATGGAGTATAACTTGTTCATCACTAATTGGACACACCTTTTGAATTCTTCTAATAAGGAAATGGGATTCATGCCACTCTATAGAGGACATTCTTGGCTGCTTATTCAACATCCATCCTCTTCTTCTTTTTCCTCTTGCAGAACTCCAATTTTATTCAAGATTCCACCCATTTGAGCTAATCTATAAGCTTCCGGGGAGAAAGACATCCACTTAGCAGCATGGGTGGTACTTTGGTTGGAGTAAGCTGTGGCCTTTGCCTCCCTGTCAGTCATTGGTTTAATCCATGGGTCGGTCGTGCTGTTCAGGCTACTGAATTGCAGAAGTCAACTGACGTGGGGAGTGTGAGTTCCAGGAATGATTTTCCTCAACCTTAAAAATAGACATGAGGGAAGATCATTGTTCTGTTGCTTGTGGACACTGTTGTATCTGCCTGAGATGACGAGAACTCTGGCAGCCATCACAGGGCTATATGGAGAGTTAGCCGGAAGCACAAACCAGCTGGCCAGAGAGATAAAAGTTAGACTTCCAAACCACTAACCAAAAAAACCCCTGAGCTAAATTCCCTCTCCATTTGTTGTATGAGAAAATCATTTTCATTGTACTTGTACTTGAAAGTATCCTTTCCAAAATATCTTCTTGTACCTCTCCGCTGACTTAGGGTGATTTTTTTTTTTTTTTTTTTTTTTTTTGTGACGTTGTCTTACTCTGTCACTAGGCTGGAGTGCAGTGGTGCAATCTCAGCTCACTGCAACCTCCGCCTGCGTTCAAGCGATTCTTCCGCCTCAGTTTCCCGAGTAGCTGGGACCACAGGAGCGTGCCACCACGCCCAGCTAATTTTTGTATTTTTAGTAGAGACGGGGTTTCACCATGGTCAGGATGGTCTCGATCTCTTGACCTCGTGATCCGCCTGCCTCGGCCTCCCAAAGTGCTGGGATTACAGGCCTGAGCCACCGCGCCCGGCCCGACTTAGGGTGATTTTAACATTTACAGTGTTCCTGTGTGTGGCCAGTATGAAATCCAGGCTTATGAACTAGAGAATGCGAGACCTTTACTTTAGTCAAACTACGCTCTAAGAAGCAGAACGTGGCCGGGCGCGGTGGCTCAAGCCTGTAATCCCAGCACTTTGGGAGGCCGAGGCGGGTGGATCACGAGGTCAAGAAATCGAGACCATCCTGGTCAACATGGTGAAACCCCGTCTCTACTAAAAATACAAAAAATTAGCTGGGCATGGTGGCACGTGCCTGTAATCCCAGCTACTCAGGACAGGAGGCTGAGGCAGGAGAATTGCCTGAACCCAGGAGGCGGAGGTTGCGGTGAGCCAAGATCGCGCCATTGCACTCCAGCCTGGGTAACAAGAGCGAAACTCCATCTCAAAAAAAAAAAAGAAGCGGAAGGTATTAGCCCAAGCACCCAAGGGAGGAGTTGGCAAAGTTTTTCTGTGAAGAGCCAGAAAGTAAGTATTTTAGACTCTGCTGGCCGTACTGTTTCTGTTGCCACTCCTCAACTCTGCGGTTATAGTACAAAGGCAGCCATTGATGAAACATACATGAATGATGCATGGCTGTGTGCCTGTAAAATTGTATTTACAAAAAGCAGTCAGTGGGCCAGGTTTGGGTTGTGGATTTGCTGACTATGGTTTGGGTTGTGTGGTTTGCTGACTTCTGACCTAAATTACATTCAAGCCAACTAGATAATCAAGGTTGATGGTTGATGGGGACATGGAACAGGTAACTGTGAGATCACTTACCTTGATCAGTTTTCTCTCCTTTTCTTGTATTGTCTTCCTTCCTGTACAATAACCATTTTGCAGTAAGGCGGAAGACAGGGCTAAAGTCAGGAGAGAGAAAATTGAGAACAAGAGATTTACATCACAGACATTCTACTGAATCCCTTACTGAATAACCAGTGGTTGGCTACACTCCTCTGAAACCATTTGTCTAGAAAAGCTCATAATCTTAATGCATTTGAATGAGAAAAATACATTTGAACCAGGTTTACTCCAATCCGTCTGTTTCTATACAAAATATCTTTGACCAAATAAAAGGTAACATGATCTGCCTTCAGAGTTTGCATAAAGGCAGGTGCATCTGGGCAGTCTGGACAGGGATGCTGCTCTAATTAGGACAATGGGAAATCCGTTATTTCTGAAAGTGCCTGCCTGTCATATTTAGCCAGCATACTCTGAGATCTAATGAACCTCTCAAAAACAACAAGGGATAATGCAAATCAGGTAAGACTGATTTAGAAAAATGCCAGTGATGAGTATCTGTTGAGAAACAACTAAGAGAGGAAAAGCAGAATGGAAATGGGAGTGTCCTGGCTTAGCTGGTCTGATGATAAAAATTATGCAAATGTGCACAGCACATCTTTAGAATGCTATTATTACAAAGCCCATCTCATACTTCTCATTGCTCTGTTTCTTTAAATGCAGTGCGTCCCTGAAAGTAGGCTGACATGAAATCATGATGTTAAAGCAGATCTTTAGTGTACATAAGCCCCAGAGTGAAAGGATCGCGGTGGATCACTCGCTTCCTCTGTGACAGCTGGTGAGGGTCCGTGAAGCGTGTGCCTCTTAGACTAAGCATTTTGTTTTTAAGCAACTGCTCTTTGAAGCCCATTTAGAATAGAAGTACACATGTTTCACATGAATACATGCTACCTTGAGACATTTCTATCCAGCACTTTAGTGGACTCTGATTAATACTAGCACATACAAACATGGAACTAGAACAAAAGAAACCACCCCTTAGGAAGGCTCCTCAGGAAAGATGCTGTATTAGCTTCGTTTCTAATTAGGTCCTTTCTGTCTTTGGGGGAATGGAGGAGACCTGAATCCCTCTAACTCTTCCACACAGTCGCTCCCCACAGCCTGATTGCCACTTAGCAATTAATTGAAAAACCCATGCTTTTAAGTTGATGCCAGATGACTCAGCAGGAATCAGCACACTTACAGGTGTCTCAGGAAGCACAACTCTAACGCCTAGTACTTCTTGATGACTTCCCTCCTGATGGCACTTCCCGCAGTTTGCAACTAACTAGGCAGTTCCACGGCAAAACGGGTTACTTGCAAGTCATGTGGGGATGGAAAAGGAGTTATAATTGTAGCACTATTAGTGGAAAATATAGACAGGTTAAACAAGAAGTATAATGCTGAGTTCTAATCCTTCAGTTAGTAAAAAAATTCTGTAGTTGAGTGTGGGGAGCTAAAGGTATCATCCCAGCTAGATCTGGAACCTTCTTTTGACCTGGATCCTCCTCCCTGCCCACTTTTTCTCCTGCTCTGCAGTTCTTTCCCTTTTCCAGATTGTATCATCTCTTTTCTCATCTCCACATCTTATATATGCTTGGCGAAGTCCTGCCCATCCTTCAAGACTCAGTTCAAATCCTTTTTCCTCTGTGACGGCCCCAGCGCTTTTAGGGAAAGTTATTGTCTCTTCTGTGCTTCTCCTTGTCTACTGTAGATCCCATCACAGTGTATAGAGGTTGACTGACCCAGTGATGTGTCATTGTCCTTCTTTCACTGCAAGCTTCTGAAGTTCAGAATTACTCATCATTGTCTCCTCAACGCCTGGTATATAGTAAGTGATCAATACATATCAGTGAATATGAGTCAGACCACTGAAAAGCTAGATGTCATCTTCAGACATTGCCCAATGATGTACTTATCTATAAAACAGGTTGGAACAAAATCAAACTTTCTTTGCAAGGCTGTCAGACCACACTACAGAACTGAAACCCAATAAGCTCCGAACCTTACTAACAGCTTAGAGGATAATTTACATCTGGACATCCTATGTGACTTAGGTCCACCGTAGAGACCACATCTGGCTTTTTCAGTGGTGTTGCCATCACTTTCTCCCCATTCTATTTGGATTTTATTATCAAGTAAAGTCCCAGAGTGAGGTAGTCTACACCTTTTATTGTGGTCTTATCCCAGGGCCACACTGCTGGGCAGAGGACTGAAAACAATGAGAACATCGGGGAATGGCTTTTGTGCAGAGAAATCTAAGTGCAGAGGGAAGAACAAGCCCAAAGGACAGGGAAAAACAACAACAAAAACCTAACACAAACTAAGCAGAGTTGCTTACCTGGATCTTTGAGGAAGAGCCTTAGCTGGGAGCAAGTGAAGGGATGTGTATCAGGAAGACTCAGGGAGGCACAGAGTTTTGCACATAGGGACTCACTCAGGAGAGTGGAACCAGGGTGCAATTTCACATGTGACATTGTCAGGAAGTGAAAGCTTTCTGCTGGCTCTCACTGCCCACACAGGGGCATGGGGCACAGTCCTCCTCTCCACCAGCAGCATCTTTCTCTATCTATCCCCTGACCCTCCTCATTAGTCACCAGCATACACATGTATTGTGTTCCAGTGGTTGATTTGTAAATATGTTACCTAGAGTATGAAACACTTTTCCCCCACTCCCACAGGAATAATGTAAAATCTGATTAGATTCCTAACTGATCCACCAATCCTTATTAATTTAGAGAATTAAAATAAACTTTTAGCTTTCTTTTGATTTAATTAATACCCAGTTCTTTTTTTTTTTTTTTCTTTTGAGATGCAGTCTTGCTCTGCTGCTCAGGCTGGAGTGCAATGGCATGACCTCGGCTCACTGCAACCTCTACCTCCCACGTTTAAGTGATTCTCCTGATTCAGCCTTCCCAGTAGCTAGGATTACAGCTGTCCGCCACCACACCCAGCTAATTTTTGTATTTTTACCATAGAGGAGGTTTCACCATGTTGGCCAGGCTGGTGTTGAACTTCTGACCTCAGGTGATCTGCCCACTTTGGCCTCCCAAAGTGCTGGGATTACAGGTGTGAGCCACCATGCCCGGCCCTACCCAATATTTACAGCATGATTTCTATGAGAAGGTATATTTGGGACTCTAAATGTGAAATGCTTTTTCTCCTATCCTTCTCTGCCCTGTGTGAGGAGACTTCTAGGTCCTCGGGATTCACAGGCAACGCTCTGGGGATTACAGTCCTGAGAATTGGTTAGTTTCTCACTTTTAAAACAAGTGCCACCTCTGTTACTGCATTGAGAAGACATTTTCACATCCCTGCCTTCTCGCTGAGTGAAGATGCAATTCCAGTTATAATTGGGTGGGAAGAAATGGCATTGTCCCAGTGGATAGGGGCCTCACATGCTTTGGAGACATTTTCTTGTACATGGGCCATTCTTGTGGTGAGAATTTGTATGTTGGTGATGTTTCAGACTAACTTCTGAGTGTGTGTGCTGTGTGTGTGTTGATGCTCACAGGTGGAGATGTATGTGCGCCCTTGTCACCGGTGTCTGATTCCATCTCTGTCTCCTTCCGCCGCTAGAGTCACAGCATTCCGCAGGTGCTTTGTGCAGCCTGCTACACTCCCAGCAGGTTCCTCCTCCTGCCTGGAGCAGGGTGGGTGTTTGTTGGCGGTATATGTACAGCTTTTTCCTTTGAGGATTTCATTAGATAGTTTTATTTTTATGCATCAAAGAAAAAAGAGAATGAATATTAGACTTTTTGAGAGTAATGTGAATGTGACTTTATCATATTTGATGGCAATTTACCTAAGGACACACTTAGGGCTCTTTATAAAGAAATGCAGAGAGTCTACAAAAGATCATTGCAAGCATAATAAATCTGGGGAAGCGGCTTCAAGATGTGTGTGATCCAATCGTATACTGTACTTATCTGGTTGTAAATAAGAATTCCTCCCTACTAAGATGCTTCTAGCTAATAGCTCTAAATTACAGTCGCGTGGCCTGGCTTTAAGATGAAAGCTCTAAGGTGTAGGAAATCTCCACCTTCAGTGTCACCTTAAGGCTTAAAAGCCTTAAGCTTTCTCATGGCATTGACTACTCTGCCTCTGAGCATCTCTTTCCCCCTCTCCCCTCCCTCCCACCTTATTCAGATCATGCTAAAAGGAAACAGACATTTCTAAAAGAGTCTACTGGGCTGGGTGTGGTGGCTCATTCTTGTAATTCCAGCACTTCAGGGGACTGAGGCAGGTGGATTATTGGAGGTCAGGAGTTTAAGACCAGCCTGGCTAACATGGTGAAACCCCGTCTTTACAAAAAAACAAAATTTAGCCTGGCATGATGTTGGGCTAAGCTGTAATCTCAGCTACTTGGGAAGCTGAGGCAGGAGAATTGCTTGAATCCGAAGGCAGAGGTTGCAGTGAGCTGAGATCATGCCACTGCACTCCAGCCTGGGTGACAGCAAGATTCCATCTCAAAAAAAAAAAAAAAAAAGTCTACCCAGTGATGCTAAAACTTTATCTGGCCTGTGATCTAGCTGGGCATTGATGCCACACTTCCTGTCTGCCTTGCCCTGCAACTCAAATGGACAATTACACCAAGGAGGGGATTATGCAAATCCTTTGACCACAGACTAGTACCTGCATTCATCCATAGACACTATAAAGAGTTCTAGAAAACCAAGCGTAGATTTTATTAAGAAAAGTTGGGAACACTTACTCTGAATGGTCTGCTAACTCCCTTTACATTCATATTCAATAATAGTGCCGGTTAATAAGATCAACAGTGGCAACAATCACCTGAGTGGAATTGCTCTCATTTAGATCATGACTCATGCCCATGTTGATGTTTTCAAACAAATTTCTGAGACTAAATAACATGCCCCAAAAGTTGATAAGAATGTTCAGCTGCAGACATTTGTGGTTACTTTGGAATTAGGGAGAGGCAAGTCCATTGTTGACCTAGGTTCATGGGGGGCAGAGAATTATGTAGATGGTCGCTGGGTCCTACTGCAGAGGGCACGGTAGATTCTCTCCAATTCCTAACATCCAGACAGAACTCACCTTGGGGAAGCATGGGCTGCTGAGGAGCATGGGATCTGTGCCCTTTGCCTGCAGGGAGAGCAAGCACATAAAAAGGCCTTGAGTGGGCTGGGTGCAGTGGCTCATGCCTGTAATCCCAGAACTTTGGCAGGCTGAGGCAGGCAGATCACTTGAGGTCAGGAGTTCAAGACCAGACTGTCCAATATAGTGAAACCCCATCTCTACTAAAAAAATACAAAAACTAGCAGGGTGTGGTGGTGGGCACCTGTAGTCCCTGCTACTCTGGAGGCTGAGGCACAAGAATGACTGGAACCCAGGAGGTGGAAATTGCAGAGTTGAGATTGCACCACTGCACCGAGCCTGGGTGACAGAGCGATACTCCATCCCCCCCCCAAAAAAAAAAAAAATGGCCTTGAGTGCTTTCTCCATAAACTTGCTGCCTGTCAGTCCCCCTTGTCCAGTTGGGTATTTCTCCCTACTTTCTCTAATTTGCTTTCATTAAAGTCTTTTAGTTTTATTTTTAGAGACATGGTCTTGCTCTGTCACCCAGGCTGCAGCGCAGTAGCACAGTAATAGCTCACTGTAGCCTCAACCTCCTGGGCTTACGCAGTCTTCCCACCTCAGCCTCCCACAATGTGGGATTACAGGCATGAGCCACCACACCCAGCCTCAAAGTCTTAACAACTCCTATGACAACTTGTTAATTATCAAAATAGAGAGAGAAGAAAACATCAGTTTGGGGTAATGCATGTAAAGGGAGCCCTCAGGCTGATTTCTCTGCTCCACCCATTTCTCATCTGAGTGAACAGTATTTTGAAGTTGCCTCCAAGAGTTGGACTTGATCATTTTGTTTTCTCCCATTTGTAAGGATTCCTGGATTCCAGGTCAGTGCCACAGGGGAACCTTGGGAAGTGTATGTATGTCAGAGAGTTAGAGGAAGAATGTCATCACAAATTGGAACTTGAATCCACAAGAGTATGAGAGAGAATTGCTTCCACTCCGGAAGTCATTATCTTGTGCCCCCAGAAACCATATCTGTAGAGCAGGCATGAGAACTATGCTTTAGATGTGCTCCTTTGCACATTTTACTTTGTGCTACCAATTTTTGCTTGCTTTTCTCTGTGTGTGTCTCTCTGTGTCGCTGTCATGGAGACAAACTGAATGAGGAAAGGAAAAAGGAGATCAGGTGTGCGGTAGCTGTTCTCCAGAGAATCCTACCCAAGGGTCATGGGTGATTTCTGTTTTTCCTCCACCTTTTCCAGACTGTCTTTCTACTGTGGCCTTTGAATAAACTGGAAATTAAAAATATATACATGAGAACTGCAGTTTCCTAAATCATTTGACACTCCAGTCACCCTGCAAGTATTGTTATAAGGAGTTTCCCCCAGAACAAACTGGCTTACTTTTATCTTCAAGAATGGGATTAGTAGGACTTGGTTAGATTGTCTAGTTCATTTGGGCCCAAAGTAGGTTTCTTCCTCTAACCCAGGCCTACCTAAGAGGATGCCAAGGTCTGGGAAGAGCCTGCCTAACCTCCACGGCAGCTGGTGACACTCTGACACAGACTTGTCCCTGCCCTGTGGATTCCTTTATGTTTAGGGCAGAATTGCTACCAGTTATGAAGTGGAGGATGCCGTGTTAGTTAATGACGAGCCATTTATACGTGGCTATCTGTATGAGGTTCTAATCCAGAAGTTGGCAGGAAGGAGTAAAAGAGAACTGAAACACAAAATGCTAAATGCATTGTGGTTTCCTGGATTGGATTCTGGAACATAAACAGAACATTAGTGGAAAAACTAGTGAAATCTGTAGGAAGTCTGGAGTTTGGTAACAGTAATATACCAATGTTAATTTCTCAGTTTTGATGAATGCGTCACAGTTCAGTAAGATGTAACAGGTGGGGAAATGAAGAACGGTATATGGGAGCTTACTGTACTATCTTTCTGTACATTTAAAATTATTCACAATTAAAAATTTATTTAAAATATGATAAAAAGAAACATACCACCCAGAGTCATAATAACTTTAGTAAAGTAGGTCCCTACTGACAGATTATTTGAAGTTTGAATTTTTTGTGTTTTTCTCAAGAAATATACATTTTTACTGAATGCTTTATTTTGTTTTTATTCATTTATTATTTTAAAAATTTTTTAAGAGACAGAGTCTTACTCTATCACCCAGGCTGGAGTGCAATGGTACAATTATAGCTTATTGCAGCCTCGAACTCCTGGGCGCAAGTGACCCTCTCACCTCAGCCTACCCAGTAGCTGGGACTACAGGCATGCACCACTACGCCTGGCTAGTTATTTTTTATTTTTATTTTGTGGAGATAGTGGGGGGTCTCACTGTGTTGCCAAGGCTGGTCTCAAACTCCTGACCTCAAACAATCCTGCTGCCTGGACCTCTCAGAGTGCTGGGATTACAGGCATGAGCCGCTGTACCCTGCCTTAATGCTTTC